GAATAGGATCATAATTTTCCTTATATTTTTACATGTAAGAATGCTTACAATGTTTTAATTCATGTACAGAAACAGTTATCGAGTGCCTTCTATGTTCTGGATACTATGCCTGACATCAGGGGCCCTAAAATGACTAAGCCACAGAGCACGCCTTTCAGAATCTCACCATCTCATGAGGACACAGGTCCATAACCGGTATGCAGAGTGCTTTGGTGGGGAACACTCAGAGAACTCGGTGAGCCCAGAGAAAGGTCTTAGACTAGTGTGGAAATTCAAGGACAACTCTTGGAGAGATGACACCTAAGCCAAATCTTGAAGACTATCAAGGACAGCAAGGAGAGCAGTCATTGGCCATGACTCTGAACTCTTCTATAGAAGTAGAGTTGATTCTTTTCATTTTTCTAAGAATACAAATCTATGGCAGAGGAATGATTTTTGTTGTTGTTTCTTCTTTTATAATATTTTCCATCTTGTATCTCTCTCATGCCATGCTGCCAGAATTTCTAAAAACAATGCTAAGAAATAAAGGTGATGGTAAATATACTTATTTTGTCCTTATTTGAAGGTAGCTCTTTAATATGTCTCCATTAAGGATTGTATGCTCATTAAATTCTCGTTTGCAATTCAGACCAACCATGTGAGGTAGGTGTTGTTACCTCCATTATATAGATGAGGACAGTGACTATCTATGAGATCAGAGGAGTTCTCCTAAGCCCACAAGTGGAGAAGAGTGTTGGAACCAGACCTTGAACCTGGATCTTTTCACCTAAAATCTCCTTTCCCCGTGCTATCATGCTTCCTCGGTAGTTGACTGTATGCTTTTGCCAAAGCAGGCTGCACTTGTTAAGGACACTTGTTGGCAGTCTTCTCACAGGGAAGTGTTTATCCATGGAACAAGTGGTGGCTTCAACACTGCCAAACAATGCTCCTGCCCAGGCCCTTGTGTTGGAGGCTCTTTGTGAGGAAGGGATTAAATTTAAGATGCTTAGACTTCAGGCTAAACCCCGAGCTATGCTATTCCCTCTGCCTTTTGGTGTCTTTCCCATGCTTCACATTTATAACCAAAGCTTCATTCTGGCCACCCTGTCTTGGACTTTGCTGTTCTGGACTTTGCTCTGCAGCAAACACAGACACAGGGGAAGGAGCAGGGCTGTGGAGTCAGGTAGACCTGGTTTCAGCACCAGCTCTAACACTTGCTGGCCATATGAATTAGGCAACTCACTCAGTGGAGCAGTCTCAGTTTCCCCTTCAGTAAAGAGAGGATAATAGTGTGTATCTCAGTGGGTTTTGTGGGGGAATAAATGAGGTGACCATGTACCCACATAGTGCCTAACACACAGTAGCTTACTTTCCTATTGTCTTTATTCTGCATTAGTATGATTAGCCTCGAAATTTATTCATTCATTTACTATATATATCAAATGCTTAACCCACACCAGACACTGCAGTAGACACCGGGTGTATATATATCGGTAAATAAAACAGGTGTGGCCCTTGACTTTGTGGAATTTATAGCACAGTGAAGGAAGACAGCCGGTGATCGAGTAAAAAAAAAAAAAAAAATAGGCCGGGCTTGGTGGCTCACGCCTGTAATCCAGCACTCTGGGAGGCTGAGGCGGGAGGATTGTTTGAGCCCAGGAGTTCGAGACCAGCCTGAGCAAGAGCAGGACCCCATCTCTACTAAAAAAAAATAGAAAGAAATTATCTGGACAACTAAAAATATATAGAAAAAATTAGCCGGGCATGGTGGCGTGTGCCTGTAGTCCCAGCTACTCGGGAGGCTGAGGCAGAAGGATCGCTTGAACCCAGGAGTTTGAAGTTGCTGTGAACTAGGCTAACGCCACGGCACTCACTCTAGCCAGGGCCAGAGTGAGACTCTGTCTCAAAAAAAAAAAAAAAAATACATTGCTGAGTGCAATGAAAGAATAGAAAAGGATGCTGCGGGAGGGCACGACAGGGGAGACCTGCTGGATGTGGCTGGTTAGAGAAGGCCCTTCTGAGGAAATAACAAGCCGTTATCTGAGCGATGAGAAAGAGCATAAGAATAACGTGATCCAGATTGTGTTATTAAAAAAATTGTTGAGGCTGCATGCAGAGAGTGGAAGGGAAGTAGGGAGGCAAGCGAGGACGCAGAGATGCCATATAGGAGGCCACTGCAGAAATCTAACAGGAAGTGATGGCAGCTGAGATAGGCAACGGTAGTGAAGATGGAGAGACATATTGAGAAATAATTAGGGAGGACACGGTAGTAGATTAGATATGAGAGGAGAGGGGTACCAGGCTTATTCCCCAGTGTCTGACTTGGGCAGCTGAGTGGATGACAGTGCTGTTCATTATGATGAGTGGTAACAGAGAGCTCGGTTTGGCGGAACCTGGGCTCCTAAGAGTGTAATCATGCTCATAGGCTTCCTGGGGGTGGAGTTTTGGTGGCTTTCTTCCCAGGAAGGCATTCCAAGACTTAGGAGGGAGATGGCTAGTAAGAGGCCCTTGAGGACCAGCCCCATCCCTGTGGTCCAGGTATACAGACCCGCCTAAGACTCAGGCTGGACCAGGGGGACCAAGAATCCCCTCCCCCTCCAGCCATGTAACAAAGCACCAAGTAACGAGAGGTGGCAGAATACTGCTGGCAAGAGGCCTGAGCACGGAGAGAGACCTCCTCTGTCGCTCACACTCAGAGGGCTGCTGAACACTGAGGGTGGGGCAGAAACACTGAGAAGAACATTCTGGTATACCAGGCCCCACATGAACACGAGTTAGTAGCCCACTGCTGGAGGAATTTGAAGTCTGTGATGCGCTGAAGATAACCATAGAAACAACAAACCCAGCCCCAACCCAACTACTGACTAGATTGATTCAATCTCCCACATGGAAGAAGAAGGGTGCCCATTTTCAGGTATGAATATTATTTACCTGTTTTTTCTACACACAATGTTCAACATTAAATTAAAAAATTGTGAGACATACACTCCCCCCACACACACTAAACAGGAATAAACAAACCATAGTAAAGAGATAAAGCAACAAAACCAAACCCAGAAATGACCCATGTGTTAGAACTATCAGATAGGGACTTTAAAATAACTGTGATTAATTATGATAAAGGATATTGTGGGAAAGGTATACAACATGCATGAACAGATGGAAATTTCAGCAGAGAGATGGAAACTATAAAAAAGCCGATTGAAATGCTAGAAATAACATATATTTTTAACTTTAGAGAGACCTTTTATGAACTATGTGAAAAAAAATTTTTTCCTGAAGTTGAGTGATTACTTTGGTTACACTTTAGTTTCTTCTGTTAAATTTAACTAAATTAAATGTGATGGTTTAAATTTAAAACCAGCACATATAACATGATCTCATTTCTTTGTAAAATGATTTTATCTTCCTCTGCCTGATACATGTGTACACAAAGATATCTGGGTTGTTCAATACATGCTAATTTTAACTGTGGTTATTTCTGTGTGGTGGAATTGTTGAGGTGATTTTTTAATTTTCTTTTTTGTGCTGTACTGAATTGTTTTTGCTTAAAATGATCATGGCATTTCAAAATTAAAAACTATGCCCCAAAGCAAATGAAGGGTAATTTTTAAAAGTTTCAGCGTTGTGCCTTCAAGTGGAGAGGTTGGATGTATGAGTCTGGAATTCGTAGAGAAAGTCCGGACTAGAGCCGTAAATTAGGCAGCTTATTGATGATATGTGAGGTTCATAGGAATGGATGAGATCAGCTCAAGAGAGACTTAAGAGAGAAGAGAAAAGTACCTAGGAAGGTGCTCCGTGTGTCTTTAGCCCCTGGAGGATGTGCGGAGGAGGCTCCCGCAGCGGGTGGAAGCGAGAGAGGAGGAGACCTGGAGAACCTGGTGCTGGGTCAGGGAGGATCCGGTGATTTCCATAAGATGCTGGGCTGTAGTTCCCTACTTGGGGTTTGGCTAACAACTGGGTCTTTGGGAGAGCTGCTGACTTTCAGCAAATGCGGACAGCTTGTTTGGAGAACACTTGTATTTTTTTTTTAAGAGGTGGAGTCTCGTTCTGTTGCCCAGGCTAGAGTGCAGTGGCACGATCATAGCGCACGATCGTAGCTCACTGCATCCTTGAACTCCTGGGCTCCAGTGATCCTCCTGCCTCGGTCTCCCAAGCAGCTGAGAATACAGGTGCATGCCACCACACTCAGCTAATTTTTATTATTTTTTTAGAGACAGGGTCTTGCTATATTGCCACTTGTATGGTTTTTAAATGGGCCACGGGTGGGTTTCTCTTTGAGAAGTGCTTTATTTGACTTGTGAGTTTGAAGAGAGTAGCAGATACGTGTTTATACTTCATTGTAACCAATTCAGCTTGCAAGTCTTTCTCCTGATTAGTTGGCAGTCTATCTTGCAGGGCTAAATATTTAAACCTTTAAGATCCCATTATCCGTTGACGAGAGGCCAAGTTTAGAGAGAGAGATTACATTGTTTTTCTCAGCTCTCCCCTTGAGAATAGATGACTGCTGCTTAGCCCGAACTCACCAGGCTACAAAGCGGCAGAGCCCCTCAGCCCTGGAGCCTGGCGAGTTGCCTTCTCTGGTTAATTCCAGGGCCAGTGCTGATCACGGCACTTCTCAGCTCATCTTGGAGCTCATCGCACTGGTGACCTTGGCCGTTGGCAGATGATGACGATTCCCGCCCTTTGCTGGGAGCTGCTTCTGTGTCACCCAGCCTCCCCGTCAGTATCCTGGCATGCAGCAGGGCTGCTCCACCTCTAGTGCTTCTCCTTGTGCCCTGCTTCCTCAGCTCTCGGTACCAGGAGGGCCACGTGTGCCCCTGGGCTGCTTGGTTGCTTCCTGTCTAGTAGAAGTCAGTCCCTGCTTTTCTAACGCTTGCACTTCTGCCCCTGTGCCTCCACACTGATCCTGGCATGTGGAAGGGGGATCGTCAAGTTGTGGTGTGCATTTAGAGATAGGGTTTGAAGGAAGTAGGCTTGGATGTGCATCTGATTAGTTTTCCGATTTTCTCCCCTTCTAGGTAATACTTACTAATATTCAAAACAGAAGCCCTAAACCTGGCCCTGCTCCCCACGATCAAGAACTAGGTTTTTTCCTAGAAACAGGACTTCAGAGAGCCCATGTCCTCTATTTCAAAAATGGGTAAGCTTCTTCATTTTTTAATCCACTTCCTAAAGAAGGAAAATAGCCTTATAATGCTGTCTCCAGTTTAGTTATTATAATAAAGCAATTTTAAATATGAACTACAATTGGAGTATTTTTTTAAAAAAAGAATGAACATTGGCTCTTTTTGTCTTTTCTCCACGTGGCTCTCTTGCTTTCCTCTGAGACAGGAAGGTGGGAGAAGAGAGGGAGGGAGCGTGAGTCACAGGCGTGGAGCGCCACACCTGGGTGGGGCGGATCTGAGGGCTGCCGGGGGTTACAGCGCCCTTCCTCCACGGGAGTGGCACCGCGCGGGCCTCCCCACTTCGCTGGAGGAAAAGGTAATGAATTGGAAAGCCTGGCACACAGGAGCATCTCCCTTTCAGTGGCTGATCAGTTCAGAGAATCGGAATTGCCGAATCTCAGCCAGTTTGTATGAAAGTGAGTGTGGTCGTGATGCCACACAAGAACATTTCCAACTTGGGCTGCCTTTGAGAAGGGTTTAAAAAGGTTTAAGAACGTGAATGGAAGGGACAGCTTTCTAGTGCATTTGATGTTTGTTTTCATTTTTGAGTTGCTCTTGTGAGAAACGTGCTGATTTATTCCAAATCTCTTCAGTTGTCCCCTGTTTTGACATTGTGCTGCAGGACAGATGTGCATGAAGACCAACAGTATGTATCTGGCTCCTCTGTAGCTCCTCCTAGGCTTCGCGTGGGAGGCCCCTAGAGGCCTGCTCCCCTTCCTGTAGGAGTAGTCCAATAGTGCTTTGAATGGCAGAGGGGACACATGTCCCAGCCTTTGGAAAAATAAACAATGGAGTTGCTCCCTCTTCATTTCTAAGAGCTTCAAACCTTGGGGCTTAGCTCATAAAAGTAGGATTTCATCTGCTTGGTGGTCGAGAGCCACATGCATTCATTTCCCGTTAGTTGAGAATAAATGCTTATTTTCCAAGTCCTATTAAACTGTTTGTGAGAGAAGGCCTGCTCTGCTCCAAAGGCCACTGGCTCAGCTCAGCATGGCCCACAAAAGGCCACAAAACAAACCCCCCAAGGTTTGGAGTAGCTTGGTGGCTTTGGCACGAAGATGCTCTTGCGTTTGATCTCATCTGCCACTGATTGAGATCATCTGAGCAATGGTGCCCATCCCCTAAGCTGAGATTAAGTTCTGTTTTCTTTGCTGTTATAAATAGAGGGAGAACAGAAGTAACATGGAGTATTTTTCTAGCGATCTGTTTCTTTTCCCTTTTCATGATAAATGGTGGTCATCACAGAGGAACCCTCAACTTTTGCTCTTCCTCTCGTTTACCTGTGGGTGTATGTGTTAGTGCCGACATCCAGACACAGGAATTAATCCCCCTGGGGCTCCCGGGGGTGCCACACCAATACGTTCAATTGAAAATGCTTTGTGTGAGGTTGATAAGGGTGGGCTGGATAATTTATTTTCATCTTTGATGCCTGATCCTTGGGGAGGAGGAAGGAAGACTCTTGGGCTCTGACCTCATCCCCTGAAATGTTGGCTGCCCACTGGAATCCAGCTTAAAAATAATAATGAGAGGGTTGCTCCAGATGATGGATTACATGCCGCTTACTGACTCATTTCTCATTTTATTTTACTTTAACCCAAGTTCAAGGAAATGCCTATTGATGTAGCCTTCAGGGAATGCTTAACTTTGAAGGCTTTTCTTTTCTTGTCCTCTGGCTCTTCTCTCTAGGCTCTGAAGACCATAGATGGGATTGGGCCAGGTGCCTTCAAAGCTCCCTGCTAGCTGCAGTGTTCTAAAGGCTGGATTGTGCAACAGTAGTGATAGATTACTTTTAGGTAGGTAGAGGTGAGGGCTGGTTTTGAGACCACAAAATATAGACAAAAGGAGAGGAACCAGTGGGAGGTTTTGGATATGCCAAGTACAGTCAGGGCTGCCTGACTCACTCCAGGGGCTTACTCAGGGCCCGAGAGCCATACTCGAGGGTCACTTATCAGTGACACCTACAGCCAGTGTCTCTGTGGAGCAAGCAGGGACAGAACAGAGGCAGCTGCTATTCCTAAGCACCAGTGGCTTCCCACGGTTCCATTTTCTGATGTATTTGATCCCTGTTTTTTTTTTTTTGTCTGTACTTTCCTTATATATATCTGGAAGGACATAATGGACAGAGTTGACTGATTTTCAGTGGTAGGAAAATACAGTGTAGGTTAGTTTGGCAATAAGAGATGGAAATTGATAAAACACATCTTTTTTTCTTTAGAAATATACCTAAATATATACTCAGCTTTTTGGTTATTATCCCTGAGGAGTTACTGAGTTATAGTAATGAACCTTATTCTTTTTGTTTGTTTTTGTTTTTTGAGACAGAGTCTCACTCTGTCACCCAGGCTAGAGTACACTAGCATCAACGTAGCTCACTGCAACCTTGAACTCCTGGGCTCAAGTGATCCTCCTGCCTCAGCTTCTCCAGTAGCTGTGCCTACAGCTGTATACCACCAAGCCCAGCTAATTTTTCTATTATTTGTAGAGACAGGGTCTTGCTATGTGCCCAGCCTGGTTTTGAACTCCAGGCCTCAAGCGATCCTCCCACCTCTGCCTCCCAGAGTGCTGGGATTTCAGGTGTGAGCCATTGCACCTGGCCTGAATCTTATTCTTGGACAACTCTCCCATCTTTTCTAGGAGTGACTGCAAAACTGGTGAACTTGGGCATCTCTGTCAGATAACCCGATGCCAGGACCAGTTCCTGGGCCCCTTCTAATGCCTTAGAACCCAACGAGGCTTTCGTGTTTACTAAGTGCTTGTATTTCATCTTCGCCGACCCTCACGGCGTTGTCTCACAGCATTCTCTCTTTCACTGCCGCTGCTGCCCTGCAAAGGCAGAGGTGTAAATAGTGTTGCCCCTATTTTACAGAACAGTCTAGACTCGGAGGCCATGTGACTTGCAGGTCACACGGTGCCTTGGGTGCCAAGTTTCTGACCTCAATCTTCTTAGCACTGTGCCACTGCAGGGGAATTGCTATCACTCCATGTAAAGGGGTTGATGGGACCCTTGGATGGTGTCCTTGTCCAACACCCTGCCTCTGGGGCAGAGCACTTGACCCCCAGGAGGAGACATGACCCGCGATGGTTCCCAGCCTCTGCTGGTTTGGTGATTTCTCCGCAGGCTTTTTCTTGTGTCTCACCTGCAGCGTGTCACAAAGCCTCTCCTTCTTTCCCTCCTCCCCAGCCTCCCCGTCCCACACCCCTCTTCTTCCCTCACCTTTTCCCCTCTCTCTTTCCTCCCCCTTCCATCTTTTCCTTCCCTCCCTCTTCTGTCCCCCTCTTTCTCCTCCTCCCTCTTCCCTCTGAGGAGAGAGAGAATATCCAGTTGCCATTCAGGCCTAGAACATCCTCCCTTCCCAGTCCCAGGAGTCCCTGGGCACAGTCCGACTCGGAGGCACCCACATCTACTTCACGCCAGTTTCTCTTCTCCCTCTGGGTGGCAGCAGCGAGCCTGTTAAGGATGAAAAAAACATCTTGTTGAGGCTCCACGGAGGGCTGGCACAGGCGCCTGGGAGAAGCCAAGGGTTTGGGAATGCCTCACCAGGGCAAGCGCTTGTGTGAGGGGCAGGAGGGGTCCTGGAGCCAGTCCTGGATTTGGAACCAGGCTTTTTTTCTCTGGGTCTCAGGTTATCTGTAAAATAGGGTGACTGTCACCTACCTCATAGAGCAGTAGCAAGGAGCGAATAGGAAAATGCATGTGGAAGCACTTCGTGAAGCGTCAGGCAGACGGCAAGTGGTAAATTGTAAAGTCCAGTTACAACGATGCCTGACTGATTTGCCCACCAAAAAGGGGAGCAGATTAAGGTCAGACTCTGGCTGAAGTGGGAGTCTGTGGAGAAGCAGGTGTTCTTCCCCGGATTGCAGGGCCTGGAGGCAGGGCGTTTATTTACAACGGCTGCTGCTTTAACCAAACAGCTGTTCCAGACACATGACAATCAGCTGGGGTGACATTCTAATCACTGATGGCCCTGTCTGATCACTGATGGCTCTTCAGAGAAAGTTGGTGGCACCGGCGGGCCTGGCCTCAGCACAGGGGTATTCATCTGGCAGCACAGCCAGCGGCAGAGAGACGGCCTCAGCCATCTGAGAAGAGGAATGTTACTCCCCACTTGAGTCATGGCAGCCAGAATTTGCCAGAGGAGCTTGATTTGGGGATGCCAATTATTTACGGCCCATTGTTTTAGGAATATTTACCCATCTTTTGTAAACAAAGGGTAGCAAAGGACATTTCAGGTAACCTTGCTTCTTGTCAGCTTTGCCAGGTGTCCTGGGTGAGCAAGATGGATTGAAGTGTGTGTTTTCCTTTGCTTTGAATTGATTTTAATGCAGGTAGGGGTAGGAATAAATTGAAGCAAGAAGGCAAATGACCATCAACACCTGGGAGATGTGGCCATTGGGTTGTGCCGTTTCCTAGGCTGCATCGCTGAGTTCTGCCTGCGAGGCCTGGACTCGGAGAAGGCAAGATGTCTGGCAGGGATGGGTCAGACCTTGGGTTCCCCGAGGTGCTTGCAGCCAAGCCAGAGGTAAAGCGATATGGAGGGGGTTTTGGAGTTCTGTTTTTACAATCAAACAAATAGACCACTAATCACCACTATGCATTGACTTAAAAATTTTAATCTTCCTAAATAATCTTGTTGAACTTTGAGACTGTTCAGCCCTGTTCAATGTGGCCTAGACCGAGGTGGCACAAAAAGGGGTCCGTGAGGCCCTGCTGTGTCCTATGGGTTGCTGAGGAGGGTGCTTTCTGGGTTTATGCCAGAGATAGCAGCAGCAGCAGATAGGCAGCCAGAGCCCATGTGATCCTGGGGAGGGCGGAGAGTACCAGCCAGGAAGCCAGGGGTGCTTTGTCGGATTCACTGGTTGCCCCAAGCACAGGAGCGGCGTGGCCTTTGTATTCTAGCATTCAGGCCATCTTCCCTCTTGCAGTGATGAGAAGTGTTTGCTCTTTAAACTGTACACTATTTTTGACATTATGAGG